GATAAAGAACAAATTCAGGTTTTCATGGTAGACTAAAGCTACTCTTTCACTTCAATACAACTAAATAAAAGCTACCTCATTCCCAGCAACAGCAAGTTAGTGGAGGCTAAAAGATAGGCTTAGGGAGGAGCGGAGTTATCAATACCAATGCTGATATCAATACCAATGCTATAGAAATACTTAGCTTTGGGCCAGTGGTCAGGTGGGATAGTTAATCCCAGGACTCTCATACTGAGGTGAGATCTTTGAGAGATACGCTAATGTATTCTAGGCCAGAGGTGACTCCTGACTATTAGCAGAAACAAAAGGAGAAGCTATCAATAATTCCTTTAAAGGGAAACTTCTCTAATTTAGCCCCACAGAATTCCTATAGATCTAACTAGGGATAATGAACGCAAATTAAAATAAACAAACATGGAAAGGCAAGTATCATAAGAGTCAGCAACAAATTTAAATACCCAAGGACTATAAATATTAAAATAGATGAAGAATACAGAAGAGCTATATATTAAATATTTCAAAAGGTAAAAAGGGCATACTCACAAGAATGCACAACTAACATTTTAAAAAGACAGACTTAAGGGAAAATAGGAAACTCATAAAATGAAAAAGTTACTAAAATAAGGAATATGATGAATGGGTTAAAAAACAGAATAGAGTTAGCTGAAGAGAGAATTAGTGGTTTGGAAGATATCTGAAGAGATGCCTGAAATTACCAAGAATGAGAAGAGAGACAAAGAGACAATATGACATACGAGCCAAGAGCTATGGCAAATAAAAGGCCTGATATGCTTCTAATTGTAGAATCTCAGGAGGGAAAAGAGAATACAAAAGAAAGGCATTTTTGAAGAAACATTGGCTGTAAACTTTCTACAAATGAACATGAATCTGCAGGCCTAGAAAGTATGATATTGGGTCATTGGAAAAGTCATGATGTACTTTTACATAGAAAAACACAGAAAAAAATACATCATGACTTTTCCAACAACTCAATATATCTAGATAAATAAAAAGAAATATATACTGTGGTAACCATTATCATAAAATAGTCCTCAGTGAGATTTAGGAAGGCAACTACACACAAGACTGTGAATAACAAGAGAATAATGTGAGAGTCACTGGGGGCTAATTTATTTTTGTGACCAACAGAATATAATGGAAGTGATAATATGTCATTTTCAAGATTATATTATAAAAGATGTTGTGGTGAGCCAGCTGGTGGCATGATGGTTAGGGAGGCTGAATCCCATGGTTCAAGTCCTAGGTCTGCCAGCTTGAAGACATGTCAGGTATGTGTGCATGCATGCCCAAAATCTCGAGAAGAAACTGGAGAAGGGACTGCAGCATGGTCATCCCCTGTGGAAGGTATTTTCTTGGTTTCCTTATCTCTGTCTCTCCAGCAAGCACATGTATCCTATGGCAAATTTAAAGGAAAAAAAAAATGCCACCGTGGCTTTTATCTTAGCTGTTTTCTTGCTTTCTTGTCCTCCCCTGGACCATTTACTTTGGGGAGAGCCATGTTCCAGGGCATGAACAGCCTTAAGGAGAGGTGTGAGGACCAGCAGTTAGCATAATGGCTATGTCACTGGACTCCCATGTAGCTGACCAAGGTTTGAGTCCTAGACCCGGTGGCTTAAACTCATGCTGGGCGCATGTGCGTGCGTGCCGAAGATTCAAAGAGGAGACTGGAGAAGGGATTGCAGAGTGGCCATCCCCCCAAGGGGGGATTTCTCGCTTTCTGTCTCTCTGTCTCTCTCTGTCTTTCTGGCAAGTGCATGCGCCCTATAGCAAAAACCTCTCAAAAAAAAAAAAAAAAAGAGGTCTGAAAGATGAGGAATGAAGGCTTCCTTCTAGCAATCCTCTGAGTAAGCCATTTTGGAAGCAGATCCTAAAGCCTGGGACAAGCCTTTAGATGCCTGTAGTATTACTGACAGCTTTGCTGCAACCTCTTAAGGGACTTTCAGTCAGAACCACCTAGATAAGCTGAGCCCAGATTTCTGACCCTCAAAACTACTGTGAAATAATGCTACCTTAAGCAGTTAAGTTTTAGGGTATTTATTTTTTTAAATGTTTAATTATTATTTTAATTTTCTAAAGGACATATGTGCTCACCAAAGAGAAAGAGAGAAAGAAGGAAAGTGAGAAAGCAAGTCTACAGGTCCGGGGCTTAAACCGTGGTCAGCATGTGGGAATCTAGCATCTTAACCATGCCACCCACTGGCCCCAGTTTTAGGGTAATTTTTACACAGTAATAGAAATCTATACATGTTCCGAGACCAAACAGTTTTGAATGACCTACAGAGTCTTTTCCATCTGGTCCAGGTGGTCTCTCAGGCCTCATTTCTCTGTCATTCTCTCTCTACATGCTACATTTCAAACACACCAGACTTCTTTTAGTTTCTGGAATGCAAACTGTTCTCTGCCATCTCTACTCACTATACAGTTCACATGACATACCCCCTGTCTGACATATGCTTAAACACCTTCTCCCCTACTCCCAACACATAAACTCATATGGCTAACTTCTCCCCATCATCAGAGCACTCATTACATTGCATGATCAAGTCTTCTTAAATTGTCTGTCTTTCCATTAGGCGTCAGGCTTCAAAAGTTGGGAACAATAGCTGTCCCCTTCATGACTATGTGTATAGTTCCTAGCACAAAGAAGGTATCAATAAATATTTGTTCCTTACAACCCACAGGATAGGCATAGGCAGGAAGGCTGAAGGTTGATGAATGTAAACATTCGCAGACAACGATCCACATGAATCTTCAACATAGCAGCTGACGTAACTACAAAGCAGCTAAATAAAGCTGTATTTCATACACCCTCAGGTTCAGAGAAGGCTTAGGGTAGGGACAAAACTCAAAAGTTGGATGGTTTCTAGTTCCTCCTAAGTCAAGCTCTACTGTTGTGGTTTCATTATGATCCTGAATTGAAATCTCTAAACATCAGACACACCCATTTTTAAAAGCGTACTCACAATCATACTCAGGCCAAACAGGAATTATTTCTAAGAAATTATCACCTGTTCTGCATTTGTTGAACAATTGTTGATAGTTAAGATTTGATCATATATAGCATTTGTGGTTTGTGCCTAAATACGAACATATACATACACACATGTGTATGTATATGTGTGTGTGTATATATATATATATATATATATATATA